TAATCAAGATACAAATATAACAAAAATGTCATTTTTTTTTTCAAAAATTTCAAAATTTCTCAAAAATCTATTTTTTTCAAAGTTTTTTTTTATAATTTACTTTTGGGTACGGAGTAATTTGCCTTAAGGCACGATGCCATGTACCATTAATTATTAATATTATTTACCTCAAAACTGCATTTATTAGCCGTATATATCATTGCAAACAAAATAAGTTGTACATATATCAAGAAATTCATAAAAGAGCACTTCATAAAAAATCCTTGGTCAGTCAACATCTGCCAATTATCCCATATAAAATATATGTAAAAAACTGTCAGCATCATTATACCGAGCAAAACTATCATATTAAAAACACCAGTCATATACAAGAACATATTTTTGATCTCACATAAATCACTTTGAATACTAATTATTTCTTTTATATGATAACGCATTTTGTCGTTCATTTGAATTTTATTAAAATATTTATAAAGAGCATCGGTGGCAAATGCAAAATAAGAGCTCATTACAAAAAATAAAAGGATGAAACAGGAACAGTTACAAGTTATACACAACAAAGGCAAGGAGTAAGCTGTTAATATTACTAGACCCACGAAATCTCCGTCAATGTTGAAACTGATATATTGCAAAATCAAGCATATCGAAGTATATAAAAAAAATAATATAATTAGGTATAAATATATAAACACCCGCTGCTTTTTATTATAAATACCGATATCCAAATCACGAGCACGATTTACTACGAGCTCCAGTTTTTTAAAGTAAAATGGCATTTCAGTAGCAAAATAATATCTATTAAAATTGCAAGCAAATACTAAAATAAAGTTGATTGATAGAAGGAGAAGATCGCTAACTGTATTTAAGCCGTTATTAATAATATCGTAATATTCAATGTCAAAAAATTGTTTAATAACAGCATAGGAATAATAACAAAAAAAGACACTACTTATATACATTTTGCCACGTTTTTTCATACAACAAAGTCCGATATTTTCTGCGATTAAGAATATGAAATTTAAAAAAATCAGTAAGGATTTGTCTTTATAATGATTTTTAAATTTGGTTATAAATTTGGTTCTCAACACGTTCATAATTTAAAAAACACACTTAATTTACCAGATATCTGAATCTGTCTAAGATATTAGAAACCGCATATTTATTAATTGAGCTCAAAATATAATGATAATTAATTTTTATTGATTAGTGTATTCACATTATGCGTGGATTCTAATATTGTTTACTATACAAAATTATTTTTCGATTGACCAATATGAAAAATATAGAATTATATATTTACTAAAAAAAATTGACTAAATTTCACAACTAGTTGTGTATAGCATCGTGCCTTAAGAAAAATTGCTGGAACTTTCCGTACCGTAAATAAACATTCGAAGAATAAAAATAATCAGTCAACAAAAATGTTTATGAATAAATATTATAAAAACTAGAATTTTCATTATTTGTTCCTTGTAGACAAAATGTAAAAACTTATTTGATTAGAAGACGTTGTTTATATATGTTCGAACCCGATCAATCAGTTCAGACTTTTTTATCTACTAACGCGAACAAAAATTGCAGTGACGCGCCAACCAACTTAGCTATAACGACATGTTCACGCATAACGCTATGAGCGGATGTCTAGGATCTAATAGGAATTTCTGCACTTTTTGCTCTGTATCTTCGAAACGGCTGGACCTGCCTTCGCCAAAAACTAATCAGCACGTCTCCTTATCAATACGAATCGAATATTTTCGAATTATTCAGATCGGTTGATCGGTGTTCCCCAAATCGTCGACAAAAATTTATATCCGCACACACACATCCACACATACACATACACGAACACATACATACACACATGCATCAATTTTTTTTAAGGTATGCCAAAATATTCAGACAAATTTGAAACTTAAAGATAGGATAGCCACCAAGTAGTTTTTTCCAATTGTGATGTAAATTCAACATATTAAATATAGTGTTTTTGAATTATTGCCTGAACGGCAATTTTCATTTAATATCACATTTTAAATTTATAATATCAAGCAAAATTTAATATTACTACTGCTTGATATCAAGCTAGCCACGGCGGTACCAATTAAAAGCATTACCTCGTATCTAAATCGCACCGTCACATAAGCCATTCCAAAAAAAATCGCTTGTGCATATATATTCCAAAAAAGCAGAGAACCAGGTACCATTCCCAATGACTTCGTCTGCATAATTTTCACCAGCAAATCAAAAGTATTGAACACTGTTAAACTTGTAACTGTCATTAGAAACAAAGTATTCAGCATTGTGGTTAAACTAAGAAATTTATTCCTCATTTCCAATAACGCATCTTGGATTTCTACCAGAGTTAAAAGTTTTATTAAACCATCCATGCATATTTTGCATCGTGGAGTATTTTTGCAAGATTTTATTTTAGCAATTGAAAATTTAACTTGGAAATTTGTTGCTGTCAGAAGTATCAACAATAAATACATTATACTTATGTAATTAGTGCAATGTAAAAACACAGATAGTAGTGGTAAAGTAAACGCAGCGTTTGATAATATATGGACTTCTCCTGTAATTTTATATATGCCAATACCAAAGAATGCACTCGTACCAAATTCAATAGTAAGGGATCCAATTAACAAGGTATATATGAGCAATCGCAGTTTGGTATACTTTAATGCATCATTCATCAAACTTCCGAGTTTCTTCTCGTTTACCATAAGTTTTTTGAACCAAGTTGTCATTTGATTCCCATGCAAAAATTTTGATACAGTATTAACTACAATCCACATAGAACAAGTTCCAAAGAATAATGAATTTCCAACTGCTGTTATGATTCCATCGATGGATTCATTCGACCATTGCCAACCAGCAGCAGTTGATATCAGAGCGTATGTGGTAAATCCCAAAAATATAATACTGCAAATTTGTCCACTAGGATAATTTTGATTTTGTTTGAAATCATTTCCACTTATTGTGGATAAACCGACGTGCTCCGAAAAAAAGAAAATTATTTGAAAAATAGAAAAAAACGTGCTATTTTCAGTTTTCTTTCTAATGCGCTTTGTGCCACCAAGAGACATTTTTTCATATTATAGAAGTCCCGCAAATCATTTGTATTAATTTAATATTTGAAATTTATCTTTGTTAGTTAAAAAACAACAGTTACTAACGTCTTTTCTCTTAATATGTAATGAGACTAAATACATAATTTTAATGCTTTATAGAGTTTTCCGATATGTTAATCAATAATAGGCTCTAACTACCACAGTTTTAGATTATATTCTGCGATTGTGATATAATGAGCTATTAGGACTTCATATATTCTAATGATAAGTTGTCTAAATATATTAATTGATGAAATCGGAAAAATTCGAAACTCAAACAAATAAATAGATTTTCATCATCATGAGGAAAATAAAACCGTAGGGTAAGGTAAGCCTCATGCTTATGAAAACAAACCTACATTAAAATCAGTTTACGGTAACAAAAATTAATCTTATTTACTGTAGAATTTCTTTAATTTCTTCTTTAGCAAAATACACAAAAAACATAATTATTATTATACAATTATGCACATTACCCGCCGATTATGATAAATACGAGAGAATCCATACACCAGAAATCAATCTCAACTTGATCAAATAAATTGAGATTTAACGACTTTCAACATTGTGACAAAACTTTGATGAATTTTTATAATTAACTCTCTTTTTACAGGCCTACAATATTTTGGTGCGATAATTATCAAAAAAAAAGTTTCGGCCATTAATTACGAAGAAACGACCCGGTGGATCGTTTGCAAAAACTAATCTACATAATTCCCAACTCCCAGTAAACCACAAACGTTCAATTAAGTTAAAATAACGTAGCACAGAAGAAACATCGTTACGTAAGTGGTGGTTAATAAAACGTAAATATTACGTATATTTGTAACTAGTTTTAATGTGGTTGTAAATGGTTTTTATATTTACAGGAAATTTTATTTTATTTTTAAGTAACGTTTATTTTCTGATTTGGAAGCATAACAATGACAAAACCGTTACGTTTTCGCGCAATTTGGAAACGTGACAAAACCGTCACGTTATCACCGTTACGTAACAGGCCGTTACCTTTTTGAGGCGGAAATGAGGCACCTGTGCGCCTTCTAGGTTACGTAACCGTTATGTTCGACATTATATATGTAACGTTATATTAACGTTTTAATTGCGTTTTGTGGTTTACTGGGCTGACACCTTTGGAACGTTTTTTTAAGTTTTCAAAATCGGTTAAGTATTTGTAGCAAATATGTGACCAAAAAAATTGCAATTTTCTGCTAAGTTTAAAGAAATGGCTCGGCGGATCTCCTCACAGAACTAATCAACGTGAAACTTTATTGGGTTACACCGAATATCTTTCGAATATTTGAAATCGGTATAGCCGTTTTTAGGGAAACGTGGACAAAGAGCCAAATGTCAACTCACATACACTAACACATGGTTTTTCCAATTTTGGCTACAAACAATTCAAAATGACTTGCAACATTGATACAATAAACAACAAAATTAGCAAGTTAATTAGTCATATGCATATATATATATATATATATATATATATATATATAAAATTTTATATATTATATAGAAAAAATTTTTTACCTTCTTCCAAATTTTAGCTTTCTTGTAATCCCAATTGTTTTAAAACTGAATTATTCTTATATTTAGAAACATATTATAATTTCTTGTTGTGATTTTTGAAAGTTTTGAAAATAATGCAGCTGTGCTCATGAAAAAGTAATAAAATAATACCTTATATTAGAAAATCAATTATTAAAAGAATGTTTAAAAAATATTATAAATATATTTATTTATAAGTATTCATTAACATTGTTTTATAATATGATGTATTTTTAAATCCTCTATCAAATTCATTTACCTTCCCCAATTAGTACTAAATCCTTTGCAACTTTACTTCATAGTTAATTTCGTATACAACCTTTTATCAACTAATATGATTAATACTTAAAAATCCAAATGGAATGGATAATCTTTATGACCACTAGCAGAATCAAATGTAACAAATCTTTTATTTTTGTTTAAAGCATCCAATTTTTCAACCTCTTCATGAGATAAATCAAAATCAAATACTTGAATGTTTGAAACAATTCTTGATTTTGTTACAGATTTAGGAATTGGTACTACACCGAGTTGAACCTGCAATTTGAAATTTAGAATTAATAAGCTTTGCCATAATTTGGTTTTTATTTGTAAAACATACCAAGTATCGTAGTACAACTTGGGCTGGTGTTTTATTGTACTTTTCTGCTAACTCTTGCACAACTTTGGGAATTGATACACCTGAGCGAGCAGTATCTATTGAACCTGAAATTAGATATTTGGAAATAGTTCAGCTAAAAGCCAAAAAAATGATATGTAATAAAAATTATATTGATGAGACTAATTTAATAATACCTAGTGGTGTATATGCAACAATGACAATATCCCTATCTTTACAAAACTTTGTTAGCCTTTTCTGGTTGATACTAGTATTGACTTCAACCTGATTGACCACCGGTTTGATAGTACAATGCTTGAGAAGTCTTTCAACTTGTTCACTGTTAAAATTAGATATACCAATGCTTCGAGTTAATCCAAGTTTAACACATTCTTCCATTGATTTCCAAGTATCCACATAATCAATATTATTATATGAATTATCAGAATCCTAGAAAAAAATTGCAAACAAATCATTAAATGAATTCGAAATATGTGCAATATTTTGCTTCAAGTTGTAATTATATAAATGTATATTTACCTTGTACGAAAAGGGCCAATGAATTAGAAATAAGTCTAGGTAACCTAATCCGACATTATCAACTGACTTTTTACAGTACTTTACAACTTTCTCAGGCTCATGGTAGGTGCACCAAAGCTGAAATAACAAAATTAAGATTAATTTACGACAATTGATGAAAGGGAAAAATATGTAACATTAAAAATATTAACTTATAACTTCAGAAATGCAAGCAAAAGTTAAGGTGCATTTTTTCTTTATATAGTTGTTAAACTCTAAAGTTTTATTAATATGGAATACTACCTTGCTTGTGATAAATAAATCTTCTCGTTTCACTACTCCTTCTGCTATTTTTGCTTTGAGGCCCTCTCCAATTTCTTTTTCATTTCCATAAATATAAGCACAATCAAAATGTCTGTATCCAGCATCAATGGCATCTTGAGCTGCACGCTGTGCTTCTCCGGATCTAGAGGCCTATAATAAACGTTCAATTTAATAGATTTTTTATTAGATTAATCACAGTGTTTTAGCGTTCAACATATATTAATTAATATATGTTAAACGCTAAAACACTGTGAATCTATATATGTATATTTATATTTTGATCTCACTATTCAAACAAAGCTGATGCTAATAGAATGAACAAACTGTACTTACTTATAATTTTTGGTATATCTTAAAGAATATAAGAAAACAAACAACTTTCGACATTTAAGAATATAGAAGCTAAAGTAGTAAAGGAGTGGGCAAGGCCACTATTTTGAATATAACTATAATTAACCTATTTTGCGTATTTTACTGCAAAATATTATCTACATATATAAGAAAATTAATTACCTTATATGTGCCTAAACCAAATACGGGCATTTCATGTCCATCATTCAACTTTATTTTAGGCACTTCCATTTTATTTGTATTGTACACTAAAGAACGTATTGTATTTAAAAAAATCTTACTATAAAACCTAGTCATTCAACTTATTAAATTGTAATAAATAATTTAATATCAATATCTTGTCAAATGGATCTTGAAATGGAAGGTTAGGATAACTTGTTTTCAAAAAGTGACAGTTTAATCAGGGGTTACCAACCCGAAAACTGTTATTTTCCGTTCTGAAGTTGTTGCAATTTTTCGTCGATTTTGATTTAAATTTTAATAATTATGAATTCATATTTATAAATATGATTTTTAACACCAATTACACTTTTTACTAATCATTGATTAAATATTTGTGGGCAACAATCAGCATGAAACATTGTTGAAGTAAAACTTCTTTAGGAGCGACTAGGGTGTAAATCCATAGATAAATAAACATAAAATCTGTGAAAATGCAACGGAAATAGCGTTACGCCCGAACTGTGATAAGTAGTCGTGTCACGTGAATAGAAATCTGGCTGTTTATTTATCTGATAAGGAAATCAGATAAACATTTTAAGGTTACATGGTAGTACAAATCTTAATAATTATAATAATAATAGAAAATGTCTGAATCAGAAGAATATTTTACCCTGTTCACCATAAATTGTTATAATAAAAATAATAAAACAGATGAAACATTTGTGCCGTAAACATAAGTTTATTGAAATAATTTCTATATTATTTGTAGTTTCTATAAATTTTTGAAGTTACTAAAATGGAAAATATTTTTTGGGCAAGACAGATATTGCAGCTGCTCAGACAGAAATATATATTACTACATGGTAAATCAATTGCTATACTATAGCAATAAAATATATTGTAATATTTTAAATCTTTTATTGGCTATATAAATATTATAAATATAATAATGTTTATTTTGTATGGTTCTGAATTATGCTATCTAATAATGTTTATATACATTACAATTACATACAATTGCTATACTATAGCAATAAAATATATTGTAATATTTTAAATCTTTTATTGGCTATATAAATATTATAAATATAATAATGTTTATTTTGTATGGTTCTGAATTATGCTATCTAATAATGTTTATATACATTATTTTTCAAAAATCTATATTAAATGGATATTCTTTATGGCCTTTGGCAGATTCAAATGTGATATATCTTTCATTTTTATTCAGAGAGTCCATCTTCTCAACATCTTCATCTGATAACTCAAAGTCAAAAACTTGAATATTGGATACAATCCTTGATTTGGTCACAGATTTTGGTATTGGAGTAACTCCAAGTTGAACCTGCAGGAAAAAAATTAGTTTAGTAAAAATTATAAATAAAATTACACACATTCCCTTTATTATAATTATTGCAAACGATCTAAAACCATTCTTAATTCATTTTCTAAATAAACAAAAAATATCAAAACAACAAAGAAAGCCATTATGAATAACAAATAACAATGCAATAAATTTAATATACTTATTTATACAGAAATAATTACCAAATATCGTAGTATTATCTGTGCAGGAGATTTGCTATATTTTTCTGCTAATTCCTGAACTATTTGTGGAACCCCATTCACACCGGGCCTATTGGTGTCTATTGAACCTAAAGTATTAAATTATTATAAAATATTCTAATATATTAATTGCAAAAGCAAATTTAAACTGATTTCTCATGATTATATATTTCATAAGTACTTTATGTTTACCTAAGGGTGTATAACCAACTATCGCAATCCCTCTATCATTACAGAATTTAATCAACCTCCTTTGATTAATGCTAGTATTAACTTCAACTTCATTAACAACAGGTTTGATTGTGCAATGTTGCAACAATCTTTCAACTTGTTTACTGTTGAAATTACTTATTCCTATGCTTCGAGTTAAACCTTGTTTCGAACATTCTTCCATGGATTTCCAAGTATCAACAAAATCCACATCGGCATATGACCCATCTGAGGCCTGGAGAGAAAAATATAAATGAAAATGTAAATAATTATAAATGAAGTATGGTATATATATGATTGCCTTGAATGAAAATGGCCAGTGTATCAGATATAGATCAAGATATCCCAAGCCGATGCTATCGACAGATTGTTTGCAGTATTTGAGGACATTTTCTGGTTCGTTGAAAGTGCACCACAACTGAAAAAATAATGGTTGGATAAAAAATAAGTAATTTAATATTTAATTTAATTTGGTCAATAAATTACCTTACTTGTAATGAATAAGTCTTCCCTTTTCACAACTCCTTCATCTATTTTAGCTTTAATTCCTTCACCAATTTCTTTTTCATTTTGATAATAATAAGCGCAATCGAAATGCCGATATCCTGCGTCGATGGCATCTTGAGCAGCTCGTTGCGCCTCTCCATCTTTGGCCTTTATAATAAAAAACAAGTAAGTTATTTTTGCTAATTTTGTTATATAATTATTATTAAATACCTTATAAGTTCCTAGTCCAAAATTCGGCATTTTTTGTCCATTATTAAGCGTTATATTTGGCACTAACATTTCGGATGCACTACTCGCGAATCTGCAAATGGTGGTTAAAATTGATGTTTATATAATTGTATAATGAATTTGTTATTATCGGTTAATGATTATTGTTAATTATTGTTTAACTTTATTGTAATTCAAACGTGTATTTCAAACGCTTGTATACAAAATAACAGCTGTTTGGAGGTTATTATATAAATTTGACATACAGGGGTTGGCAACCTTCATGGATGCTGTACTTGAATTATATTTTTACTTATATTTAATTTATCAAAATTTATTGCATGTATACACTGCAATTACTTTACACGTTTTATTAAATAATATTAAAGTAACAAACGTTTATATATATATTATATTTTATATATAAAATTCTTCTGTAATGATGTATGAAAGGATAGTTCTCCTAAACGATTATTCGGATTTTGATAAATCTTTCTGAAGTTTGTTAAGGAATTTTTTTAAGATTTCATGATTTATTGGAATATAGTTAGATTGTAGAAATAAATGGACAAAATTACAAAAAAACGCTTATCATTGAACATATTTGAAGCATTCTTTAACATAAAAAACAAATGTAGAATGTCATCTGCCAATTATTTTAATTCACTTATTAGCTAAGGCAATATCAATATTTTCAGTTGTACATTTAAGATCAGCTATATGGATGTATATACATTTTGGTATAGACTGTATTGCAAAAAACATAATAATTTTTAACTAATTCGTAAGTATACGTTATTAAAAAAAATTGGAACTTTTGAATTGTGAACATAGGTACAGGACAACGTCTGTCGTATATATATATATATATATATATATATATATATATATATATATAATATACATATATCACTTTTTCTTTAGATATGGATCAACCGTCCCAGCCAGGATCAAACAATGAGGGCGAATTCTGTAAAAACCTAGAAGATATAAAAGAAAAGTTAAACAGCCATTTAAAAAGGCGAATGCAGGAAAACACACATCAGAGAAAATCCGCCGAACCAGTAACTTCCAATAAAGTTAAAAGAAGTAAAAAAATCGACAGAAGTGCATCCGTCGATAACCAGGAACCGGAAGACACTGTTATAGAGGCTCACGATGGTCCTCAAGATAACAAAAGAGAACCGGATATTCTTAGTGAAATTTTGAACGAGAAAAAATTAAGCCTGATGCAAGATCCTAGTGTCACAGAATTTTTGAGAAAACTGTACACGAAAAGATAGTTTTAGTTGTAATATATTTTAAGTAATAATTATTGCATATTGTATATGTATATGATTCATATTTTTTATATTTTAGACCTTATGTGAATTAATGGGTACAATGTACAAGGCATAGGTAAACGAGTATATTTAAATGATACAAGATATATTTAAAAAAATATATGAAATTAATAAATGTTTTTTTTTTTCTTCAGGGATTTCGAAATGTCGAACCTTGTATTATTAAATTTCACATAAATCTATCAAATAAGTTGAACTTAAAATTCCATTTTCTTTTAATTAAAATTTATTTTTTGTAACAGTTTGCAAAATAAAAAAAATAAAAAAAACATTTATATTTAATTATAATACAAATACAAGGGAGAAAGCGTTTAGAATAAAAATATAATATCTTTGAAAGCGATAATAGTCTTGTAACACGTTTAATATGTAAATAATTTTAAGATAATTAATGCAATTTAATGAATATTTTTCAAATACATATATATGTAATAATTATTAATAGTATTAATATTAATGATGCTTATATGTGAGTTATAATATTCATAACTAAAATGCATTAATCTAAAACGCCATGCAATAAACAAAAAAACACGTCAAACTTCACCAAAAAAATCATGAAAAAAAATTATAAAATTTTCGAAAAAATGAATTAGAAATGAAATAGTCTAATTACCAAAAAAATAGCAAAATAGGAAAAAAATACAAAAAAATAGTAAAATCGCCACAAAACAGTGGTTAAAAACTATCAAAAAAAGTAACTAAGTAACTAAGAAAAAATGGTGAAAGTCAAAAAACGTGAAAAGAAAAGTAAAGCTGAAGATAAATGCAAAAAGAATAAAGGACGTAAATACAAAGCTTCACAACGAACACTTCTTTTATCACTACCGAAACTTCCAGTAAAGGCAAAATATGATTATGAGTACTTCAAATCTTGGGACGTTAAGTAAGTACCTTTCAAAAATTAGAAATAAAATTCAAATAAGAGAACTATTCATATAAAATAAAATGTTTGATAACTAATTATTAAAAGAAATAATTAACTAGAACGCAAAAAAATTTATAATTTGGTCTTAGCTAAATAACTAAATGTGTCATTATAATAATGGATAGTACTGCCATGGTGCAAGTCCTTGAGCTGAGTTAAACCCCAGATTACCCCTTGTCATTACACCCCGCAGTGCCCGAAAATGGGCTAATATATTTTTGATTTATATTTTCAATAGAAGATTAGCATTGCTACTGCAAGATGTCAGGTTGTCCACAGTTCGAAAAAATAAATTTATATAATATTACTTTTATCAATTTTAGGTTCAACAATGGCAAAGGTTCAAGATTCGAAAGACCAAGTATCCGGGATGAACCGTTCGAATGTCCGCCGCGGACGAAATCGAACCTACAATATCCTCGACCAGACAGGGTGGTTAAAAAATATAGGCCGCCAAAGATGCGAATTTCTAATGTCTCTAGAAGTGCCCTCAAAGCGAAACCCAGCGAGAGGGTTGTTTCTTTGTCTGATCCAAAAATGGGGTAAATAATAAGAACATGTAATAAAGCTTTAATAGTGCAGTTCTATTTACACTGTTTTTATAGTTAAATTAATTATAATTTATGATTCGTTTTATATGTAATTGTAGACGAATTTTGGAAGTGCGAAAAAGTTTCCATGAAATCATGCCAGAACAGAACCGTAAAAACTTGGATGAGTTAATTCAGAAACATCCTGAAAAAATTACTTATTATATGAAATACGTATATGAGTAAGTATGATTATATAATTTTTATTATTTTAAGCTTTCTAAGTTCCTATACTAAATAAAATTAGATACAATTTGAACATTAGAAACTAGATATTTAATGCTTTGCTAATGATTCAATTTATTATGAATTTCGTTATAGATAATTTTGTATGTCTTTATTTTTAAGCCGAATTAAGATATGTACTACTTAAGGCAAATTGATTTTTTTGTTTAATAGAAATAATCAATTGATTATCGGTAAAATTGTATCCTGGTCTTGTACGTAATTTGTACGTACGTATCCTTACGTAATTGTACGTAATTTTTGCGCAAGAAAGTTACATATGTTCGTCATTTGTACGTAAGATTGATGTAAAAAATATGTAATAATTTTTTCCATTTTATATAAGTGGATAATGTGGAAATATTTTGTAATAATTACGTATAATTTATGAAAAAATGGCGTAGAAGTGCCCTTTTTACACACATACATATATACATATAGGCATGTCCGTTTAAAACGTTTAAAAATTCATTTTAATTCACGCTATTACGATGATATCCTGAATTTCTGGATTAGTTAAAATTAATTATAAGCAAATGATGGCAAAATAATTATTTTAAATTTTATCTTTAATTAATCAATGAAAGTTAAATATTTTTGTTAATTTACAGGCCAAAAAAGAAACCAAGAGGATGGACTAAGAAAGATTGGAGAAATCATCAACCGTACATAAAGAAATTGGCAACTCCCAAACGTTGTAAGAAACCTCCGGATACAAGGGTACGAAAATTTTATCAAAAATAAAATTAATTTTCCTTTACCAATATAATGATATTTTTATAAAGAATCGAAGGTTTAATGGTAAAGTAACCGATTTGCTAATTTTATGTTTTTTTAATTTTCCAAGGCAAAAGGCATGAGGTCTTAAGACAAATTGCTTGAACTTCCTGTACGAAAATTAAATTATTTAAATCTAATCATTTGTTTTAATCGATTATAGATAAAAGCTCGCAGACCTTTGAGAAAACTAATGCCTGGCATCCTGTCCATGAGTGAGCCTAAATATCGGTATGAAAAACCACCGATCATAAGATATGGATATCCCCCACAAAAAGCATTGCATTACGAAATTACTGATCGTATGCAACAAATTGCAACACCTTTGCCTAAGAAATATGATGATACTCCATATGATTACACATACATATCGCCAAGTGCGCTTAAATACAAACGTAAGTAATACCATCATCAACCATTAAAAAATTAATATACTTATAATTATCTTGAAGTGTAAATGTTGCATACCAGGAAGTAGAGGTGTCCATATACTCAATAGAAATTAAGATGTTTATGGTTTCTCTGCTGTAATTTGTTTTCACATTGGTGATATTTCCTCCCTAATCTTTTGCAACATTTTACATTGAAACATCTGAAAAGAAACACAAATTTGAAAACAAGACTAATGCAATCATATAAAAACTATCTTCTATTCATCACACATTTAAATGTTACAATTGAATGTTTCATCAGCTATGATCCCTCACATTTATTTTTTCCTTGTAGCAACTCCGAGAATATTAGAAATGGCTCAAGCAAAGACCACAGCACAAGCACCTGATGCGGACTTCAAAGAAAATGCTTTCCAAGTTAGTCCGAATGCACTAAAATATAAACCATCAAAAAGAATATTGGAGATGGCCCAGCCTAGAGGAAGCTGATAGAATTTGTGTAAAAATCTTTAAGATTGCAAGTTCAAATATTTTTATCCAAATGCGTTTTATACAAAAAATAAAATCCAAATATTGTTTGAACATTTTATTTTTAGTAACGCCTAATATGTACAATTAGTAATCGTAATAATAATTAAATATAAATAAGTTAATACAGATAAATGTACTGCAATTTTGTAACAGTTCAATAATACATGGTACAGCTTAAATATTAAAATTAAAGCCAAAAGATTACTTTAAAATAACTGGTACAGATAATCACAAAATAAACACCAATATTATAATGAAAACTACAAGCAAAACATTTTCAATTTTTTTGTATCTATGATGGATCACTTCTAAGTCAGTTCCAATTGATATTGATTTTTTCTTATTTTTATACACTCTCAATATAAATATCTAATCTAAGATACAATAGTTTTGAAGAGAGGTAATATGTTTACAGCAAAAATGCTTTATTATTGTGAATTATTTCAGAGATGCGATAACAGCATTGGTAAATTCATTAGTAGAATTATTTCCTCCAATGTCTTTGGTTCGCACTTTGCCAGCTTGCAGTACACGCTGAACGGCTTGTTTAATTTGATCGCTATATACATGATGGTTTACATGTCGGAGCATGTTTGCTGCACACAATAACATGGCAGTAGGATTGGCAATGTTTTTACCAACAGCTTGTGCAAATGTGTGCCTTGAACCCTGAAAAATTATTTATATGATAATTTCTTGGCAGGGTTTAAGTTAAATTATGGCCCGATTAATTCTTTTTCACAAATCTTGAATAAATATGTCAATTACAATTACCTGTTCGAACACCACACATTCTGCTGAGTAGCTGGCACCGGCTACAATACCTGCACCTCCAACTAATCCTGATGCCAAATTGTCCACAATGTTACCATATAAATTGGGTGTAACGAGAACATCAAATTGTTGTGGTTTGGAAACCATTTGCATGGTGCAGTTATCTACAATCATTCTCTCAAATTCAATTCTTGGGTACAATTTCGCCATCTGTAAATAGAGAGATTATTTTAAATCTTTGTAACTAATTAGAAAAAAATTTACACAGTTCTGCAACTTCTAAAATGCTTTCATAAGTTTTGATCCAAATTGTATTATCTCTACATAATAATAATATCTAAACCTTGTCTAACCTTCTCACAGCTCCTCAAAAATAAACCATCCCCTAGTTTCATGATATTTGCTTTGTGTACAGCAGTCACCTTCTTGCGATTGTGCTTTGTTGCATAGTCAAAAGCAAATTTGGCAATCCTTTCAGATTTCTTGGCTGTTATAATTTTTAAACATTCTACAACTCCTGTAACGCTTTCGTGCTCCAAAGCACTATATTCTCCCTCAGTTTGTTCACGAATGATTACACAGTCAATATTCTAAAAAAGGTAACCATTACATAATATAATATTTCTTTATATCTATCTAATTTTGTAGATTCACTCATTATACCTTATGCCTAGAGCGAACTCCTGGCAAACTTTTAACATGAACAACATTGGCATATAAATCTAAAGTATTTCTCAGCTTCATGTTGAGCGTTTGTAGCTCACCGGTGTGAGAGTAGTCAGGTGTCGCCAATACACCCTAAACAAAAATTAAATTATGAAAGTAAATAATTCACAAAAATTATATTTAGAGATTGATCAAACTTAAATCCCAAGTTGAAATTAAAGCAAAATAAAAAAACAGCAAATTGAATAATATGAAATATATTCAAATATTATAAATATTCAAATATTATTCTATCTCAATAATACCTTTAGACATATTTTATTTTTTGCTATTGATGCAGCAACTTCTTCAAGTGGGACACTTAATACTGGATTGACTTCGGAAAAAAAGTGAACATCAAAATCAACAGGAACATTTGCAGCCTAAAATAATAAATAAATTACTTCATAATTTCATATTGCTTAGTTTATCTATTTTTGAAAGTCACCGAGTACATACTTTGAAAACTTCTTGAACTGAATAAATCAACTCAGGTCCTACACCATCTCCAGGAATTAATGTACATCTTATTCTAGATTTACTATCTAAAGGCTTCAGGACTTCTTCAAGCTGTTGAAAAATTTAAATGGTTTGAATATAATGTAAGCAACATGAAATATTTAAATATAATCTTAAAACATACCCTTGCTGGAGTTGTGTGAAGGCATCTTGAATTTAGCTAAAAAAAAATTGTGCAAGATTTTGAATGAGAATATTTATTTTTTGAGGTTTATGTTAAAGAAAACTTTAAATATACTTACTTGGGAGCATAACCTGCTCGCACTCCGCATCAACATTATAATATTGGTTTAAAATAGTGTTTTTGTTATATAACTAAAAATATTGCTAAATTTTAATTCGTCTAAAGTCAAAGTGGCAAAAATTTTCGCTTGACTTTAAAATAGACTTGAAGTTAACAAATGTGCAGTCAGGCTGATCTACGTGAAGTAGAACGTTTGTCTATGTTACATGTAAAGGTGCAGTCACACTTTCATTTTGTAAATTGAATGGCGCGAAACCATGCTGCATTTAAAATTCAATAGAAGTAATTTGTAGGAAATGATTTTTGAAAACATTTATTTATTCAGCTAACCGAACGTGAACCGAAATCTCCATGTTATTTTTTAAAACATATATTTATTTAATAGATTCTTTTATAAACTAATTTGAAACGTATTATAACTAGATGTTAGTGGCATTCGCTGGAACTTGAATACGTAAAATAAATAAATATTAAATAAAATGTTATAAAAGTTTGTATTATCTGATACATTTAATTATAATTATTTAAACATCCTAATATTTTTAACAAAATCCTGAAATTTTAATCAAAAATGTGAAATATCTTATAACTTTTAAATTGTAGTTTTTAAAATTATATTATACACAAACTAAATTTCAACACAAATATACCAAAAATAATTAAATATCTATATTTTTCATAATGATTTACAATTCTGTTTGTCTTTAATAAATACATCTATTTTGTCTATACACCGATTCATTTTAAAATGAATTGCCTTTTATCAAAATATTTAAATATATCAAATTAAATATGTTACATAATAAATAAAAATGCATTAACAAAAATATTACTATTTTAAAATATATATAAAAGCAGCATTATTATAAAATTGTCTGTCTTCGCGGTTACAACACAGACTTGTATGTGTTCAATAAATTCTCACAATTGCTTTATCTTGAAGGTTCACTATCTGAAATAAAATGAAATAAAACTAAGTTATATTGCATTTATCATATTTATTAACAGCTCAACATCCATATGAAAAAATGAATTAAATCTTGTGTATAGAATTCTTTGAGTATAATAAATACTCCTGTGAAAATGATTTTATATAACATTGCCAGTTAACTAATTAAACTTACCACTATAATTTAATTCAGGTTTAAAAAAAGTATTGAAAGTTGAAGAACTAAATGATTCTATTTTAAATTAAATATTAAAATAAAAGGCTTTAAGTAATGTAATGGTCAAATATATACAAAAGATTAATAAATATAGTTAACAATTTCTATCAATTCAACATCACATTAATATACAAGTCCTTATATAAAATCTTCATTAAAACATTTTTATCATTGGACCGAAGGCTGCAATATTGTCAGCTGTTACAGTTACAATTTCAGGTGTAAAGATCAGGTTTTAGTTATTTGTCCTGGTCTTACCGAATTTTACAGATTACTGCAAATACATGAGGCCTTGTGCCTGCGCATGAGCCATCAGTGCCTGCGCAGCTTGCTGTGTTTCTAACATCAGTCGAGTTTCATAGAGCCATTCACTGGATACAGTTCGGGCAGCACCCTTCAGTAAGTTCATGTAACGCAGGGTTTGAGTGAAATCGCCACGGTCCAGCCAATACCTAGGGTAAAAAAAATATTTTATATGAATTATAAGAAGAAAAGTTCTTTAAATAAAATAATTATTAAATGGTGAGATCCTAAAAATCATAATTTGAGAGTATTAGTTAGATATTTAGAAGCAAATTATTCATGTGTTGTAAACTAACCTGGCTCTAGCAAGAATTTCATATGTGTCCATTTGACTAAAATCAGTACGTTGATCTAATAATTCACTGGCAGGCATAGGGTTGTGTGTAGACATGAGAACTGCACTTTGCAAATATGAAAGCAAATAGACAGGGAGACGTGCACCTCCTTCTGGCACTAAGGCAAGTCTGCGAGCTACGCGTTCGACCTATTACAGAAAAATATATGAGGGTTATAAATTATATATGTATTGTTTAGTGTGAGTGATGTATGTATGATGATGTCAACCTTCAAAAATCTCTCACGCAAAGCATCCTCAGAATATACTCCACGGCGTTTTGCTTCTTTAGGAATTCCATTTACAACTGATTCTATTAGTTCATCTGATCCAGCTGCAAAAAAAATACAGAAATTCATAAATTAAATTATTATAGGATATATTCTTTCTTAATTATGAATAAAATTAAATGTTCATAATAGAGAAATATTCTCGAAGTTTTACAAAAATTCATAATTTTGTATTCAATAATTTCCAAAAGCAAGAAAAATGACTAGATATATATATTTTTTTTAACAGGGTTTAATCTTACCAGTGACCTGCTCGATCGCATTGATCTCTGGGGTTAATGGCCTAAGTTGCTTATCCCATGGCACACACGGAGTGTTCGCTTTTATGGCTGCTAAAAGTGCTTGACAAGCACCCCATAAGGCTTGTGCCTGCTGTGCACTTGAATCTGCTTTTGCTCGAGCTGTAAAATACAATATTTATAAAATATGTAAAATATAATTGATATAATTCTTTAAGGCACTTCAAACAATTGTAAGCCGAGTAATTTACCTTTAAGTGCACTATCAACACCACGTAGCCTTCCAACCATAGCAGCAAGCTGAAGTTTGTATTCTTCTTTCTCTGCTGCTAGCCTTTCATCTAATAACCTTTGAGCTTTGCGTTCCATTTCTTTTTCTTTAAGTAATACTGCATCTCGAATGTGATCAGCATGTGCCTCTGCCTGCAGTTTCATTTGGCGCCTCAAATCGCGTTCGCCGTCCGCACGCAGACAAAGCGCCTGAAATTATATTATACCAGATATAATAATTATAATAACAAATAATTTATAGTAATATTGTCTGGTAAATAAAAATCTTAATTTTAATGTTCACCTTCTTCTGGTATTCCAAATCCTTGCACCGTCGTTCTTCTTCTAATTTCTTTTCAATTACTACCTCTTTGAGTTCTTCTGGATTACATGCTAGAAGGTTATGAGTATAAAAATAAATAATGCACATATGTATTAGTTTGATTTGAAAAAGAGGTGTACAAACAACTTACTCCTAGCTAATGCTAAGGCCTGGTTCATACGGCTATCCATGATGGTTTGCATTTTTGCTAATTCTTTCTGATAGAAAATCACATGAGACATCACATGCAGTAAAAATAGATCTAAGTCTGTTGAACCCTCTAAAAATACAATTTACCAATATAATACATATAAAATCAATTTAAATTAAAATAAAAATAAAAATTATACTTTATGAATTTGCATACCCAACTTAAATCTGCGCTCACAGATGTTTGTACCAGGAAACAGTGTTTCAATTTCTTCTAAGAAGTAACTTCTGGCTTGTTCAATCTATGCAAAAAAAAATAAAAACAAACTTTTAGTATAAACTTTATTATTATAGTAATGATATTAAAAATTAAATTCGTTATTTTTAAGAGAGAGCAAAAAATCTAATTAAAAAATAAAGTAGCAAAAATTTAAAAATAAATCAAAAAATATAATCAGTGCAAAATATGTTTATTTAAATCTTTAATGTAATATACAATTTTTTTTTATAAGAATTATAAAAAGGAAACTATATACAGAACATATTCATAATTTCGAATTCGGCGTTGAATATATTACGAAGTCCTTTTCAATTACCTGCGGTTTTAATTACATGTGGTTTTATTAAAATTATGAAGACTATATTTTCTAGAATCTTACTTGTACATAATATTATAAATGTATAAATAATCACTTTGTATGCAAACAGAAAGAATCCCTTGAAAATTATTGCAAGGACAAAAATCTTGTGCATCAAAGTCTTTAAGAAAACTAATTGTAAGCAGAATTTATAGCAATTGATCATTAAGGATTCGTCTTCAGGTAAGTTAGTTAAGTGCTAAAGAAGCAAATGAAATACAAAGGTTCTGATAATGTAGCTGACATACCTTTTTCCAATATCTCTCTGTAAGATCGCATTTTTCTTTTTCTTCAAGGTATGCTTGTTTAGCTTGCTTTATATCGAATAATACCCGGTCCAAATTTCTATGTGCTTGATCAATAGCAGCCTTAGGTGCGTCGATGTCCGACTCCAAAGCGCCACGCATTTTATCTGCAAGAGATAAAAAAAACATTAAAGACAACATTTTACATCGATGGATCACAATTTATAAACTGCAAATATGTAACTAAAATGGAGAAAAATTAATTTGAAATGCGAGTTTCAGCAAGTATTGAACCACAATGAACTTTGAAAGATTATCTTCTAAAAAATAAGCACAATAATTGGTCTGTAATAATTTTTGTCATGGATTTATGACTGCTAATAAATTTTACTTCACAATGATCGAAGACATGCATTTAATAAACAATTAAAAAGACATGCTTACTCAAATTTTCAATGGCCTCATTTGCAGCTGCTTCCGCGGCCTGAAATAAAATAAAATATGAACATTATGTTAACATTTTATAAAATGTTAATATTAAATATAAGACAAGTAACTCACTTCTATGCATTTAGCTTTTTGTTCACTTCTTTGACGCAGAACACCCCATGTTTGTGGATTATGCATCTCAATAGAACTCTCGATAATCTAAATAAGAAACAAATGAGAATAAATATACACTGGTATGTATGAAAAAGTTATAGCCACTGCTAAAACAACTTTAATTGTTAAAGTAAAAAAAGAAATTTAGCAGTTAAACTATATTTAGCTAGTTGACCAATTTCATCAAACATTCATAAAGAATATTTTTTACATTTTGAAACAATTTATTCCTATGACCATAAATATTTATTTTTATGCTACTTACGACGTCTACTTGATCCATATAATCCTTCAGAGTGCAAGTAGCTTTTGCATAAGCTGGCACAGCCACTTCGGAAGCATTTTTGATTGCATCTTCCAGTTGAGCAATGGTCTTTTTAGTTGGTCCATCAGTCCTGCCACTTGGTGCTTTGCCGTCTGTATGTTGTATTATATTGTCAACTGAAAATATTATGTATTTGTTCACATACCTAATATTGAAATGGATTGCTCCCTTTCAAGAAATATATATTTATAAAATTATATTAAATTAATAATTAAATAATAAATAGGTGTTAGGTATTTTAAAAGGGCAAAACCTTAAGTATACTATGTCAAGTTAATTCTATCATAAATAAAATTATTTCCAGTTAGTAGAATTTACAAAATAACAACATGTTAATAGTTCCATCAAGTATTTCAATTTTTAACTCTCAATTAAATTTAAGCTATTGTCTTTTCAATGCAATACACATTTTTAAGTTTTAGTACACAAATTGATAAAAAATATTTTTAATTTTAGATAAAATGATTAAGCACTAAAAACACATGCACTTTCTAATATAAAACAACCTAATTACCTTTCTTCTCTAGAAATGCATGAAAATATTTAAAATTTGAGTTTTTTTTAAAAAAGATTAAAGATAATTTATATACTAGAAATATATCAACTTACATAAAGAAAAAATAATTTTACAAAATATTGTAAACAATAATTATCATTAATGATACTTATAGGTATACAAAGATAAAAACATGTTTTTATGCAAATGAGTTTTTATGCACTGACAACTGATAAAATAATACTTGATTTAAGAATATTTTAGTTTATATACCTAAATGAACGTTGTCCCCTTCAATATTTCTAATTTCAGTAAATTTTTCAGGAGGGGTGGGTTTCTCCAGCAAAGGCTTGAAAGCTGGACGAGGTGCTATTTATGACAAAATTTATTTAAAAACACACAAAATTCAAGTGCAAATTTGTTATTAACACTTTATCGACCGCTGGTTTATTAATCAGCTTATTTATTGCATATGAAATGATACTAGACCAGTTTATTGTTAGTGAAAAGATGATTCAACCACAAGCAATCGATAAAGTTTTAGATAAAAAAAAATATTTTTAGTATTGTTAGAATGTTAATCAAATTTCTAAATAAAATAAAATCACATGAAAGTGCATACTATACAACAATACATATCTATATGCCTTTGAAAGAAAAATATTTTAAATTTCAAGTAAGGTTTTAATGAAGCTTAAACGATATACGAAATTTATAGAGCATATAAAAAATATAATAGTATAAGACGGAAGTTTGTTTGAAGATATTAATATTCTGCATAAAAAGTTAATTTGGTTGAAAATAAATATTTTTATTTAGATATAAATTGAAAATTGAAAATTTTGTATTTCAATATAAATGTGTAAAAAATTTGCAAGTTTCTACATTTAAAAACTCAAATTTATGAATACCAAGAAAGTTAATATTTAAGATTAACTAAAATAATTGAATAATATAGAATTCTAACCTCTGTACTCATCTGCATTAGGATCAACAATATCACATCGATCTTTCTCTAACCGTTTTTCTTCATCAGATTTTTTTGAAGAAAATAATTCCAGCATAAAATCTTTAGAACTACCTAAGGCATTCAGTACACTGTCCTGATATGTATAATCCTCTTGGTACATGAACCGGATTATACTGTCTGTAACTGGCACATTTCTTGCAAGCCATTCTCGAAATTCAGGATCTCTCCTGAAAATAAAAATATGCAAATAGAAAGAAATTATAATAATGAGATTTTTTAATTTATGCTTACTTGGCATAAACAAGTGTCAATCCTCCAACCAAGGTAATTGCACCAAAAGTGACCAGTAAACCGCCTGCTGGATTTGGTTTTTTTGGTTTCGGTGGGTAAGCTGTATGTGTGAATTTATATTGCTGATATTGTTGTTGATTGCATAGATATAGTCGCACAAGTACTGCACGATTTACCTAAAACAAATAATAATAAATTTATTGATTTTTCAGATTTCTTGTTATAACAAACAATAATTAAATATTAAATATTATAGAAGATTGTGTAAAATAAATGTACAAACATGATACTGAAAAATTAATGTCATGTGCAGACTATGACATCATTTTTATAAATATATTACAATGCTATATTGAAACGAATTTGCTATATGAATAAAGAGAATACTATTAAATTATGTTATTAATATATTTTAATAAAAAAAAATTAAAAATAATAAAAAAAAGCATGTAAAGCAACACTTTAAGACTAACTATAATTTTTTATAATTAATTAACTTGATGCTTTTGACTTTAGAACTTTAAACAAGTCAATCAAATTCAGTAAGTGAATTTTTAAAATTTTGTGAACGATTTTGACAAGTGGAAATATTTAAAGATATGACATAACAAGTCTGACATTTCTCAAATGTTGAAAATGCATTTTAGAAATTATGCAACTGTAATTTGGGCATAATTTAACTCACCCGAGCTAATCCATTTTTTTGTGCCAGATATCTGATCATGATGGAAACACGCACCGGGCGAGTATTTATTTTTTGGCAGCTTCGTTTAAATTTGCTGCTTTTTCGAACTCACCACACAAAAAAGATAACCTAAATGACAATCGAACGGACGATTGTCAAGATTAACCGAAAGATGGCGGAAGAGAGGCGCGCATGCGCTCTGGGTCGGGCATTTTACGAAAGATTACTATTTTACAATATTTTGCGAATGACAACTTTTAAAAATTTAGATAAAATTGCGAAAACAAACGAATGGTTTAACTGAGTTTTTTTTTGTTTTTCGATTTTTGAATTCAGTATCTTTGAATTTATGTCATAGCATTATGTTTTTTCATCGCGCGGAAATTTTCGATTCACATTTATTTTATTATCCAAGTTTAAATATAACTGTTTATTGATATTATTTAATACCGTATAAACACAAGTACTGTATTTAATAACATTAGGTATAGAAGCATATTTATAATACAAAATATCAGAGTTCAAAAGCCTTTTGCTCTATTATGACAGTTATTTCCGGTTCCGTTAGCGCGGAATATGAACTAGCATTTTAAAATGTATTTAGCAGTTTTCAATAACAAATTTAAACGTGAAAATAATATTGATCATAGTTTCTGATATATATTACTATTTATTGAAGCGATTTGCTAAAAGGTACTGAAGCACTGACGCAACTGAGAAAATAATTTTAAAACTGATATAACTTATACCTTACAAATACCTTCAAAATGGCATTTATATTATTTAAATGTAATCATTTTACCAGTTTTGCCTTTAAATTATAGTTTAGAATATTTAAAATATTTTAAAAAGCGAGACATCTCTCAACGTAAATCTAAACTGTAATTATTTATTTAACCTCAAGATGGCAGGAATTAGGACTTGCCGTCATGTATTAAATTTACAAAAAAATTAATGAATATTAGTTTGAATATTTTAAATATTCAAATATATTTAATTAATAAAAATTGTCCTAATTTTCAACATAACGGAAATAAATAAATGACTTATCTTTAACACGTTATATAAATTTTCGCTATGTTTAAATTAGTGTCAAAAGGTGAGTTAATTTCTTTAAATAAACATTTTTGAAACATTTATTTTATTTTTAGAAATTATTTAAATTAATTAATATTAGGATATAGTTTAGAAAATATTATGTGATTTAAATACTTAGAAAATATATGTAATTATTGAAAGAGTACTTTTAGGTTATATTATATTACATATACATTTTTTCTACTTATATTATATTAGAATAAAATTGAAATAGTATTCTCATTTATAGTATACACAGTATTTTAAATTGCTTTTTTATTATACAATGTTCTGGTTAAAATTTTATATATTAGATAATTATTAAGTAAATTTATATACTGATTTATTTTGATTCCTAAAAAAGTTAGCATTTATGATACTCATAAATGTACTACGGCTCCACTTATACAATGTAATTTTTCTTGTATGTTATCAAATTTTATCTTTTCAGCCGCAAGCTATTTATACAAACAGGCATCAATATGTGAGATGCAACGAACCATTTTGATTGCAAAGAATTTTAACATTTCACAACAATGTCAAGCTTTCAGTGTTTTTCAAAATAGTCAAATAAAAAATTATACAAAACCTTTTGAACCCAAGAAGCCTCTTATAACGAATTTAAATCCCTTACTTAATACACAAGTAATTTTTGGAACTCAACAAACTCGTGATTTAACCAAATTTTCTTTGAGAAGAGGAAAGAGGAAAAGTGTGAAAGCGGTAACCAGAAGATTTTTCAGACTAAATTGGGGCGGTTGGATAAGAACAAGAATAGGTAGACATAAACGTCTATGGAAAAAATCACCAGCACTTAGAAAGCGATTGAAGGAACATGTTTTTGTTACTGGAACTCAAAGTTGGTTATTAGATTCTATGGTTACGAAGTATTGGAGAAAGCCAAAATATTATGTGGATGATCCTTATGAGCCATATCATAAAAGAGAAGTTTATTGCAAAACTAGGATGAAGCCATTTAGACCTTGAAATTTATATTAATACTGTTAGTGTTAAATTTTGTGGATGAAACAACCAATAAATATTTAGATACCATCTGATAGTTATTTTTAATTATATCTTAAATTCTTTGATTTGTTGAATTCATAGATAGCAGTTTATTTCTCTACAACTGACGAACAAAATGAACTAGTGATAAAATTTAACCTTATTATTTTATAACATCACTTTTAAATACCAGTAAAATATAAACTTACTTAAGCAAAAGCACCAAAATGTTGAAAGAATCTTATAAGATTTAATTTTCAATATGAATCTTATTGGTATGTTATTCAGAGTTAATTCTTCATTGGTATAAAACCTAATTTTGAATAAAAAAAGAATTCATCTGCATTTACAATATATTATACAAAATTAACAATCAAAATATTATAAAAATATGTCCATCATATACAAGAACTTATATTTCATTGCTCTCCAATACCTTTTCAATGTTTTTGTTTCATGGGCAAACAATGTGATTGGTCATTTTTCCAAGTCCTTCGATTTCTGATTCAATCACATCTCCTGGTTTTAACCATTGCGGTGGTGTGCGAGCCATACCAACACCTCCTGGTGTTCCAGTCAGAATAATATCACCAGGGAATAATGTGAAACATCTAAAATTGGAATAGTAAACAAACATTTTAACACTATTATATCTAATAAGATTCTTACTGTGATAGTCTAGAAATGCACTCATCGATCTTAAAGATAAGATCTTTTGTATTGCCATCTTGCTTCAATTCTCCGTTCACCCAACATTTTAGTTTCAAATTATTGGGATCCTTCACTGCACTTTTATGTATTATTGATGGTCCAAGTGGGCAGAATGTATCCATAGATTTTCCTAATAAAAATTGTCTGCCATTAAATCTTTTTTGCCAATCTCGTGCACTGATATCCTGTGAGACACAGTAACCAAATACATGGTCAAAAGCTTCTTCTTTCCTGATACATTTTGCAGTTTTTCCAATCACCACACACAATTCAACTTCCCAATCCAATTCCTATATGAGAAAGATATTAGATTTATTATATTGATATGAAAATTTACATTGGTTAAGAACTATTATCTATTGACGAGATTTCAATTTGTGCCATTCGGTGCTAAATAATACTACCTTCTGTTACCTTGGTTATTGGAGGATATTCAATATTATCTTCATAGCCAATAATTGTGCTTGAGAATTTACTGAAGAACATAGGATTGTCTGGGGGTTCAATGCCTTGCTCATCGCAATGGCTTTTGTAATTTAAGCCAATACAAATCACTTTATCTGGCTTCGTAATTGGAGGAAGAAGTGTCACATCCTTTTCGCAAACTCCTGGTTCTTTCAGTCTACTAATATAAAGAAATACATTAGAGTTTTAAAATATCTCACACCATTTGAGTAAGAAAAAGGTTCTTTATTTTCGTTTGAATCATGTATCTAGAAGATTTGTAATGTAAGTGTTATAGCAATTGGATTAATCTCCATCGTATTAAAAGTTTGATTATATTCTGACACTAAATCTATTTAGTATCATCTCTACCAATCATAATTTTGAATCATCTCTATAAAATGTTGTTAATATTCTTGGACAAGTTAAGGAATGGTTTGTTAAGGAGCAACTTATTATTAACTATAAGTACCAATTTAAATAGTCTAAATTCTCCAATTCTCCTGAGCCCAATAAACTGAGCATGGAAGCTGGTTTGCCTCTCAAAAGTAACTCAACAATTGTTCCATCATTCTTTTTTAACCCAGTTCGTACTTGGCAGTTGTCATTTTTTTGAAATTGAACAAAATTCATTGTTTTTGCAGTAGTCGTAGACAAATTCCTTACATTAAATTTGGACTGAACTTCACAATAACCTCGAAAAGAAGGTTGTTTCAAAAAATTGAACTTTGATACCAACAGCCTTTGATAACAAATATTCATGGTCGACTTTTAACTGGATTTTATGTTATTAAAATGCTATTATAATAATAAGTTAATATATTATATATTCATATACAAATAATATTCTTAAATGTTAAACATGAAATAGAAAACAACATGATAAATGACGTTTTGAGTCTTGTTATGTAAACAATATGAAATTAGAATTACAATCCGATATCCTTTAGATTATATGTATATAATATTTGTAATAACTTATTTGGATTTATTTATTTTAAGAAATAGAATATATTTTTATTACAGAAAAATTACTACAAAAAATAACAAGAAATAAATTTTACGCCTGAAGTGTTCGCAATGTGCAACAGGCTTGTAACCACAAATATTTTAAAAATATACGAGGTGTGTTCAAAAAGTACCCGGAATTACTAATAATTAAATTTCGCGGGTCTGGAGTGTCTGATTGTCAAAATTTTTTTTATTGTGTTGGTATACATGCCCCTAAAGTATGATGAAATTTTCAGCTATATTCACTGTTTACTTTGTCTGTGGTAGTCGCTAAGTTCGACGTGTTCTGAGCTCGGCGATTTTTACAATGGAAGAATTGAAAAGTCAAAGAATTTGTATTAAATTTTGCGTAAAAAATGAAATAAAGTGTTGCAAAGTGCAAAAATTCACCAGATATGGCTCCGTGTGACTTTTTCCTATTCCCAAAGTTGAAGAGACCCATGAAAGGACGGCGGTTTTTATCGATTGAAGAAATCGCTGAGAGTGCTCAAGGACATATCAAAAAGTGAATATCAAGGATGCTTCGAAAATTGGAAAAAACGCTGGCATAAGTGTATTATATCTGGGGGGGACTACTTTGAAGGGGACCACATTAATGTAGACGAATAAATAAATATTTTTTGAGAAAACGAAAATTCCGGGTACTTTTTGAACAGACCTCGTATATCATAGGGGACAAAAAAACAACTAAAAAGTTGATATCTATAAAATTGTATTATTGTAATTATAGAGTATTAAAATTCTAGTTTTTAATTTGATATACTCATTTTCTCAAACTTTGATGATTTTTTAAAATTGAACTACTTGTCGTAAGGCCGTAATATTTCAGTAAGTTCTATAAGACCATTTTTCCAAATTTGGTCTCATTCGATTCAGAACGGCTTGAAACGTCGAGAAAACTTAAAATT